TGCAAAATTTATTAATTTATAAGTAAAGATTTTGGTACTCATCAACACATTGCACTCGCTTATCTTAAAATACAATTTCAAAAGTGAAATTTATGTTAACAGCTGGTAATGGAAATTCACCAAAAATGTTTGAAGGTGGCACTATTGTGCTTATTTGGGTCATCATAATCCAGCTTAATCGTGAAAGTATGATATCTAGTTAAAAGAATCAAGCTATTAATATTAGCAAATGTCCTTTTTTTAAATATTTTTAAATGGAACATTCATTATTATTATTATTATTATCATTATTATTATTATTATTAAATTTGTGCATATCATTAAAATCATATTCTGATTAAATATTTTAATGTATATGGACTTATTTAAATGTAACTACGTGTACATTGTACTACATTTGGAACTTTATTGATCATTTGCAAAACTGTATGGATTTCTGTATTATGTTGAATTTAAAGAATTTATACTATTACACATTATTATTGTGCAAATTGAAAAAAAACCAAAAATGAGCAAACAAACAAAACAAAAAAGACAAAAACAAACAAGCAAAACACCAAACAAATAAATAAACAAACAACTAAAAACAGTGTTTTTTCTAAGATAAAGCATAAACTTATGTAATAATTTCAGATTCAAATGCTACATGTTCATTGATAATAACCAGAGTTAGATTGAATGCCACAGTAATATCATAAGTATCATTGAAATAACTTTAGCATCCCCCCCCCCCACATGTATGAATTATTTATTAAAATTATATATTTTTTTTAAGAAAAGGTTCTCGTTGTAGGTTTATGCACAGAGACAAATAGTGAATTACAAAAGAGTTAAGAGAAATAATCATGATTGTAAATAATGAAAGCATATTTAAATTTTTTTTCAATAAATGTTCTGCAAAACGTAATGAAATTTTTGATTGGTTTCAGCATTGTGTAGAATCAATTATGGATTCATTAGTCAATGGTTTACACAAACTGAAACCTCCTGAAACTTACCCGTATTCTAACGCTGATCTTGGTTATCACATGCTTTCCACCTTGTAGAAACCATAAGGAATAGAACCCAGTGGGTTAGCAATGCATTGAAACCATATTGAACTTGCTGAAACTATTTACAGTTTCCTAATTGTGGATCCAAATCCTTTAATCCTGAAGCAGTTAGCTGAGCCCCCCTCCCCCCGCAATAAAATGCAGTGGACATAGGTCTCCAGTTGTTTTGAAAATACATGTGTACATGTATGTATATGTGCCTTCCTTTGTTTGAAATTTTTGCATGCCCGTAGAATGTGGAGGGGGGCAGTGGGCTGTCCTTCACTTTTTTTTCCGAGTATAATATTTTAGTAAATTTTCATTTAGATGCCCCCCCCCCTACTTTTTGTTGTTGCAAAGGTCGAGCACTGGCAATTTTTTCAGGATTTGGGCAGTTTTCAGTTGGCACCCCCTTTTTTGGGCTGTTTTTTTTTTCTCCTTACCAGATTCTGTTTAGAGGTCCCCCCCCCCACGCACACACATCCACTTTTGAAACCATTGCTATAGGCCTGTGAACTTATATTTTCGTGAGAAAACAATACCTTTACAAAAAATAAAGGCAAAGTCAAGTAAAAATATAATTTTATTGTATGCTTGGGAAAAATGTCAGGTATGTAAATTTCCTTTCAAAATTCTTTTAATATTTTAGACAATAATAACATTTCACATCAAAACTCATGTACGATGATAAAAATCAACAATAAAATTAAGGGTCAGAATGTATCTTAAGGATTGGTCGGGTAATTCTTATTGGTCTTAATCGTGTCTCTGACAGATTAATTTTAAAACGGACTTTTATCAGTCCTACTATCTTGTGACGATCAATTTTGGTTTCGCGGTTCAATAACCATGATAACTCAATTCCTTCGGGATGAAAATCAATCAGCCGTAGGTATTACGTATTATTATATTAAGTTTTTAACTGAGTTAACCCTTTTTTGCCTAGGGCATTTTACCATAAACAAAACAATTAGCATGCTCCTCACTTAAAAATGTTAACATTTGCAAGGATCGACCTTTACTCGACTACCATTGTGTCACTGTGAACTGTAATCGACATTGGTTTAACCAGATATCAGGACTGTAAAACCAATCAAGGTATTGTTTTTTTCTTCTTTTTTCCATTTCTACACTTAAAATAGAAGTTGAGACTATATTCCAGTTTTTGTTTATACAATATTTTTTGACGTGTATTAAATCTTTTTATATCTACATTTAATCTGTTTCGGTTTTTCTGAAAGATTAAACATGTTAATAGTATAATTTTGTTTCACACTAGAGATCCAAGAAAAGTTTAAAGAAAAAAAAGAATAACCTTTTAAATTTTTAATTCCACATTTTGTCTTCAGAAAAACTACTCGTGCTCGGTAAAAATACTCAACTTTACATAATAGATATATATTAGTCGGGTATTTTTATATGGAACGTTTTAATTTTCACATTTTTCATATGATATGCAAGATTATTAAGTCTGATGAATGTAAAATTTCAACATGCCGGAGTTGTATTGGGGGGGGGGGGGGGGGGAGTCCACAACTACCAGTGGACGACAGTGCAGTGTTCAAACATTCCTATATGTTTTTTAACTATTATTTTTCTTCTCTCCCAGCCTCCCAGTTGTTCTTGTCTATTTCACGATGCATATGTGAAATCTTACTTGAAAAGATATATATGAATTTTATTTGAAAATTACAAGTATATACAGGACAGCCATAAAATTGATTTCAAACAGGATTCGCAAACTCTATTATAGATCAGTACTGTGAACGCCAAAAAATTACACTCGAATCTAATTACCTGAATAATAATAAGGGATAATTCAATATAGGCACCAATAAATTAAAGATATATACACAGATTGCAATTTGCACAATGAGTTTGAGTCTACAGACACTTTATCAGAATTCTTTAAATCTAAAATGGGTCTTTTACAAGGGGAAGTATTGTCCCTGATATTATTCTCTCTGTATGTGAATGATTTTGAAATGGCATTTTTAACAAAGGGCAATATTCCATTACAAATATTAGAATTAAATCTTTTTGTTCTTATGTATGCTGATGACATGGTAATTTTTGCGGAAAGTGTAGAAGAACTACAGTCTATGTTAAATACATTGTATACTTATATCAAAAAAATGGGATCTAACAATTAATGTAGAAAAGACTAAAATTGTTATATTTAGAAATGGAGGAAAAACTGGTCATAATGAAACATGGCATTTAAATGGAGAAACTATTGAGATTGTTGACAAATTTATCTACTTGGGAATGCTTTTAAATTATAATGGAAAATTTAATATCACACAGAAGCAATTGTCTACACAAGGTAGAAAAGCTATGTTCTCTCTGAAAACTAAAACTAGTGAAATGTATTTGAATACAGAAACAATGTTGTCTTTGTTTGATACTTATGTTGCTAGTGTTTTAAATTATGGATGTGAAATTTGGGGGTTTCATAATGCAAAAGATGTAGAAAATGTGCACTTGCAATATTTAAAATATGTGTTAGGTGTAAGAAAAAATACAAACTCTGTAATGATTTATTATGAAACTGGGAGATACCCATTGAAGGTAGTAAGGTTACTAAGAATTATCAAATTCTGGTTCAAGGTGTTAAAAAGTGAAAATTGTATTCTTTTAGCTTGTTACAATATGTTACTTCAGGAATGTGAAAAAAAAAAAACAAAAAAATATAAACAGCTGGGTAACAAATATAAGAGAAAAATTGTTTGAAATCGGGCTAGGCGACCTTTGGTATAGTCAGGAAAGCATTCAATTAAAAACACATTTTCCTATTATTAAACAGAGAATTGTAGATATTTTTATTCAAACAAGTTTCGAGCAAATAAATTGTTCATCAAGATGCAAAATTTTTAAGCATATCATTGATAATTTCTCTCTCCAATATTACTTAACAAAAGCTATTCCAATCAAATATAAGAAGCAATTAAGCAAAATACGTATGTCATCCCATAACCTAGCTATTGAATATGGTCGTCACAATAACATACCAGTAAATAACAGATATTGTGAAATGTGCCATTTAGATATTGAGGATGAATTTCATTTTATTTTAAAATGCCCTTACTTTAGTGATATTAGATGTCGATATATTAAGAAATATTACTGGAAAAAACCTTCAGTTTTTAAGTTAATACAACTGCTCAGCGTAAAATATTTTAAATAACTGTGCAATTTAGGTTTTTATCTCAAACGTGCTTTTGAAGTACGAGAAAGTGTCACAAAATCATTTTCTGTCTAATGTATATATGGTCAAACTGTATAATACTAAAGTCTGTTACAATTTAAAATTATATACTACATATATTTGTATTACCATGTCACACAACCTTAATCTTTTGATGTTTGTTAACTCAATGCTATAAGATGTATGTCTTGGGCAATAAAGATTATATATGAGTGACAGAAGCTTAAGGACCCTCTATACACTAGAGGAAAATATTTTTTGGACATTGAAAAAATCATAGTGTGTAAAAGAGTAAGTATTGAGCTTATCTATCACATTTTCAATATAGGATGCCTTGCATTTACCCCCAGAAAAATGTTCAAAGACAATGAAGTACTGATGAACAGAAATCACTGTTGTTTACTTAAGTGGGCAAAATACCTGCAAATGAAGTGTTCTATCTATTCATCTTGGCCTATTAAAGTGTTATGAATGCTTGATTTGATCACAAATTAAAAGTTAAACCAACTATCTCGAGTAAATCAATTACGATGACACAATTTGAGTTAAGACATAATTATAGGTGTTTGGAGTAATTATATTCGTTTTTAACGTGATATATTGCTAAACAATTAAATCAGATGACTACAACTGAATTGCCATTTAAAATGTTTTTATTACACAACTTTCAGCGATAATTTATCATGAACAGCTGATGAAAGTACAATTTAATTGCATGCTTTCCTCTGTCTTTCAGTTCTGCTCGACATATCTAGAAAGAGAGAAAAAATGCTTCAAGAAAATATTTGGGATTTGAACCGTATCACATTTGTCATCTCCACATCAATTTACATAATTTTGGGAACAATTGGCAACGCTCTTATAATTGCAGTATACGTTTCAAAGAAACGCCATTTCCCAAGAAGAACCTACATCCTTACTCTTGCGATCACGGACTTGGTTGTAATGATTCTGGTAGCTCCGTACACCATTGTGTTTGAACTTAGATTAGTAACGAACAACTTCGTCTGCCATGTTTTCGAAGTAGTCCGCCATAGTGTGATAGGGTACTCCAATCTTATTCTTATTTTGATAGCAATGGAGCGTTTGCTTATGGTGTGGAAGCCTTTAAAAGTCATGAAAGGTAGGACAAAACTCGCATGGATTATAGGATTTCTGATTTTTACCATTGTATGTTCTAGTCCGTCTGCTCTTATTTACGATGTTGATTTTCATGGCGATCCTCTTCCGGTCAACGAAACACATGTTCAGGAAAAGTATTGTGACTATACAACTGGCATTCTAGGAGAAGAAAACAGCAATATGTACAGGAATTTTATAATTGTCTTAATAGTTTCAGAATTGATGATTTTGATAGTGATATATACTTTAGTTTTTGTGCTTATTTACCGACAACGGAAAAGTATTCTAGGAAGAGCGTATGTAGGATCAACTCGATCTAACCGAAGACGTAATAAATCAACCATTCAGGAAGAAGTACGGAAACAAGATTCCAATGAAAATAAAACAAGGAAGAAAGGCGATAAAAATTCAAATGATGATAATATTTATTGCATAACGAATACTCTGTCTCTTAGCAGTAGCCGGGAGACGGATTACAAAAGCACAGCTGTGAACGTCGAACAAAAACCGAATTTGAAAGAATCAGAAGACACTGAAAAAGAAGAATGTAAATCGAACACTGCCGAACAAAAGAATGATACTACACAGTTTGTTGTTCAAGATTGTCAGTCTTGTAATTTAAAGAAAACAGTGGTAACACGAGAGGCTACACCAAACACAGGAGAACTTTCATTGACAACAGCAGGAAACGGTGATCAGAAAACAACTGATTTGGATGTTGTTCAACTTACATGTAGTCTTCAAAACACTCCAAGATCTTCATTAACATCCATTAGTAACGCTGGAGATCAAGATATAGTCACATCCGCCCGGAAAATGTCCATAGTCCAAACAAAGACCTGGACAATGTTATCTATTTGTACATTTCTATACATAGTTTGTTGGATCCCTTTTTTCCCCGAGATGTTTAATGTGACCGAAGTATTGGCTTTGAGATTTTTCTTTTTTATTGGGCATGCGTCGAATCCTATCATTTACAGTGTTGTTAATGTTAAGATAAGAAGAGCTATTAAAGAATTGCTCTTTGGGAGGTCAAGACAAATGTCTATGAATAAATCATCCAGAGAAAGTGTTTGAACTCCCTCGCTTGAATTTTCTCTGCAAATATGACAAAAACGCTAGACACAAAACAAACAAAACCAAACACGGCAGATGAATTCCCAGGTCTTAACTAAGTCCTTTTAATTAGGCTTCAGTCATGTTTACTTTTTATTTTCTTTCTGAGTTCTAAGCATTTTATTGTCAACACATATCATTTTTAAAAGAAGTTGAATGTTCTTTGTAAGACAGAAGAATAACCTATAGTAATTAAAAATAAAATTTCATATGTTTTATTGAAAACAGTAAAATGACTAAAACATTTGTTTATATGCTTTTTTTCATTGAGTAATAGTAGCTCGGAGAAAATCGAGACCAAGTGAGAAAAGTGGAGAAGTTTTTGTCTACTGCATGTACTGTACTGATATGTCCATACATTTTACCTGTTTCACCGTTCTCCAGATCGACTGACAAATTAGAGGTATAATTCTTTTCAGATAGGGTAATCAATTTCGACAATTTAAAACTTATAAATCAAAAGGATTTAAAATTATATTTTGTATTCATATCTCTTCAAATATAAACAATCTACGGTACATTACTACCAAAGTTAATTCCGAAATTCAGTATACAGTACTTCCCAAGATATGCTAAAATCAATTCGAAATTTAACCGATTATTTTTTACTCGAGATTCAGATCATCCACATGTATACTGAAGGTGTTCGAACTGCAACGAACAATTGCATTTATTATTTGCAATAATTAATCAAAATTTTAAGTTGATTTTCTTACCCTAGGTCGTAAGTCTAAGTCTCTAATAATTCCGTTCGAGTAAAAAATATAAGATGTGTGCTTGGCAGCAATGGCAACATCTCGGATCTTTCCGACAAGCGAAAAAAACAACTTTCCGAGCTTGAGGATGCGGTAGGCTTGGTAGTTGTAAAGCCATATTGAAGAACTATAATTTATTTGGACGAAAATTTCCACAGAATGTATTAGATACTAAAATAAAACAACTAAGAAAGTTGTTGGTTACTTGATAAAACCACATGCTTACAAGCAAACGTTTAGATCGAGATTATTGCCGGAATACCTGAAAAAAAATCGTCCTGTATCACCCTCTTTAGAAAAATTAAATGATCAGAGACCCAAGCTAAGTTATAGTTAAGAAAAATGGGTCAATTTCGGAATTGATTTCAGCATATCTTGGGGGAGTATACGGATTTCAGAATTAACTTTGGTAGTAAACCCAGATTGTCAGTTGGATTAAAGCGATCTAAGAGCATGTCACCAGTTTTAAATATTGTGTTATACAGAGTTCATATCCGGACAATACAAAGTTGGTCGAGGTTTTAGAATTTTTAAACGCCTATAAAGAAAAACGGAGAAGCCAATTTTTAATTACGTTACATCAACAGAAGTATCATGACGTCACAATTAATGCTACTCCTTGATCATTTGCAAATCAGTACTGCAAAAAATGTAATGTAATCCGAAGCCCAAGTAAACTTTTTTTTCCCTACATTTATGTCAAAATCAAAAGATGCCTCAATCCTTTTACAGGTGAAAACAGACAAAATGAGAGGAAAAGCGATTAAATTTTACGATAATTATTGGAGAATACTCAGTAATGGCAGCGGCATTTCTTTCAACTCTGCAATAACGTAATTAAGGTTAAAATTATACCTTCTTGTCGTAATGGGCATTGAACGTCTATGAAATGTCCAGTTTTACCAGTTTATTAGCATCTCTTTGGTTGTTATTTAACAACATAGAGATCAGAGCAACATATTACAATTATAACAACATACATGCATGAGCAAAAAATGTAATATATATACAAAATGTGTTTATGATTGCATCATATTTCTATATATATAAATTAGGGATGGCAATTTGTAACCGGTTAACCGATTACTCGGTCGGAACGATGGCAATCAATTAGAAAATCTGTAATCGGTTAATCGGGAAAAAATTGTTGAATTCAACACATTTTTTAAAAATTTATTTAGAAAAAAAAATCTCTGCACAAAGGATGATCATTTAGGATTTAACGGATCTAATTTGGACGTATATGTAATTATGAATCTCCAGACTGAGACCGTAGCGTACATGTAATTGGTCAGTTTATGTAGTGTTAATTACTGTGAAAACACCATGTCGTTACCCCGAGTTTGTTTTACTTCTTTGAATCATTGAGTACTGTGAATTGGCGTGTTTGTCGTTTTTCAGTTTTCCATCCAATTCAATTATTAAAAAAACATTGTTAATTAAGGGCTATAGAGTTCACATGTAGTTTTGATTATCATAGTGAAAATGCAGAAAGAACTTTTGTGACATCTGCTCTGGAAAATTATCAAAAATTTCTTAGGCTTTTTTCACGGTTTTCTCAATTTTTTCTTGTCTACTGGAGTTTAAATAAAAAATATGTACCCGTAGTCTTCTAATCCAGAATTAAGACTAATGGAATGTTTTAACTTCTATCGTCTTATTTGGGTCTATTTGTGTACATATGGACAGGGCTACTTGAAAAACAATTAATTGTCAAATTTTGCATTTTGATACGATTAACCGGTTAATCGGTCGGAACGTCTTGCGGGTAAGCGATTAGCAATTCTGTAATCGATTGCCATCCCTAATATAAATGTTATTAACCAGGAGGTTTGACTCTCTCGTGTACAATTATTATAAACGAACACAGTTTACTTAATAGCTTAACATTTTTGGAAGAGAACAATTCATTAAACTTGATAACATTTGGTCTTGTAACATAATATTTGGGAATATACAATTTTCTTTCCCATCAAAAAAGACGAAAACAAAGTGTACATCAGCGTATCTTTCATTGCAATTTATTATTTTTTTTAAGTACTTGAATATAATTTAGAAAGTAGATGTATAAAATATATCTTAAGCAAACTTTAAGTGTCAGAGAAACTCATTTTTCTGTATAATATGTCTATTTGTCTCCTACTTAATTTCAATTCTATATTTCGAGTTTAACTTGCTGAAAGTCATGATAGCACTAACTCTTATTGGGGTTACACATTAAATTATTTTTAAGAGACTGGTTTATTTTACAGACAAATTAGAACTTGTTCCATGACACCCAGACACATTTTCTTCTCCCACCAGTTTAAATTTTTAGCAAGTGATTCCCGAGATTGTATTCCCACATTTGGGTTAGATTCTGGCGCTTTAATCCTTTTAAAGTGTTTTCATGTAGCGTGAGTTTCCATTATCAGAAATATTATATGGCGCCATACATAAATTATTCAAGGTGAAATTATGATATCATATTTGATCTTAAATTGCCGTATGGGAACTGACGTTGGAACTGTCGTATTTTATTTTTTTTTTTTTTTTTTTTTATAAAAGTCGATCATCAGTATACTTTCCGTTTCCCCCCCTTAATTCTGCATTCATCATGATATTGAAGGTCCTGTACATGTAGTTTAAATACTATAATGACCCATTATATACAACGTAGAAATTTTATATTCTCTTTTGTAGCTCCCACATATTTTAAGTTTTACAGTTATATCGAAACTCATCTTCGCTATGGTAGGAGGAGAGTTTGTGACGAGAGGAGGGGATCAGAAAACACTTGGCTAGCGAAGATGATCGAAACTTAGAAATCTTACATTCTGTACATGCACAACATTTAGAAAGATTTAAATCTTAACAACACCTACATTCCTCCTTTGCACGACCATATAATTTGTTTGTGGAATGGTTAATGGTATGGTCATTTCTGTATAGATCCCATAAAAAAGGCTTCACTCGGTTTTTAGTTTTTGTTTATGGACATTAATACGGTTACTGTTCTGTTCTAGTTCTTAACTACACTTTATAGAGTGGAACTAATGCCAAGGGACTTTCACTGGATCTGATATGGGAATGCTAGCTTGTTGTATGGACGTCATATAAAGTTTTGAAAAGAGGAATGTTCTTGAATTATTAAAATAAATAGCATTTTCTCTCCGTTGTGCTAGTCCATCAGATCCATTTCCTTATATAGCTAGCAAACTACTTGGAGGGACAAGTACAACAAACTGTACAGAAGCGTTCTGTTTTTTGTTGATTTCTGTTAAAAATAGGCTGGACAGTATTTTTTACTCAAGATATATATATATATATATATATATATATATATATATATATATATATATATATATATATATATATATATATATATATATATATATGTGTGTGTGTGTGTGTGTGTGTGTGTGTGTGTGTGTGTATGTATGTATGTATGTATTACAAATACATGTACATAAAGGCAAGTTATTACAAAAAGAAAAACAACCTTTTCAAATATTTTGCCCCAGTATTTTTACCGGATATACGTGATATGTATTTTGAATTAAGATTTATAATTGTACATACTAGTAGTATGACCAAGTAAACCCCCCGATCTGACACATTGACAATGACTCAGTCACGGAAACTTCTAACATACGTGTGCATTGTATCAAAATAACTGTCATCATCATCATCATCATATATAAACATATTTAACATATCTAAATTAAATATGATCAAATCATAAGTTTTCCCGATAATTTTTTTTTCATTCTTCTTTAAACATATTAAACATATATCAATATATGCTTGAAGATTATCGCAATTTAATGCATTAAAATTTTAACACTCTTTATGCGTATTACGTTAGCACACATATTGTTTCATAAACTACAAATGTTAACACATATATTTTATCATAAACCGCCCATACTAAAACATATAGAGAGGTTAAGCAGATGACCGTGTACGTCTACGTGTACGTGTAGCTAGGGAAATTCCCCAATTTACTGCGATTTACGTCATCAGTTTTGCATATTGCGTAATTCTACAAGTTGTACACAACGTGTGGATTCATATGTACACGTAGGAAAGAACGTGTAGCTTCTTAAACACAAATTATAGAATATATATTTTTCAGGCTGTGTTTGTTGTGATGTTGAGAGTTGATTACGTACATCTATGTATCTTTTTTAATCAAAGTCATAAAATTATTTGATACAAATGAATTGTAAAGTGACTTGTTGAAATGACGTTTTACACGTACCGCTACACGTACAGATTCTTAAACAGAACACGATGTTAGTTACGTGTACTTGTAAAAACACTTCTAGGTTTACACGTACACGTAGACGCACACGGTCAAATGCTTAACCTCTCTAATAATATT